AAGAGCTTCCTTCAGGAGTTCCATTTGAGGCTTCCTTCCAATGGCTCCTTTAGTTTCAGGCTTCCATGAACGGGTTTCTTTTCAGCATTCGGCTCGTGTCCTCCATTTGCTCCAGGATGGTTGTCCGTGTTCTCTCCATATCAGCGGTCCGCCTCAGGTGCAACCATGCGCATAGGCTAGACCGAAAAGAAACCTACGCCTTCTTCAGCCATCCAATGCCAAGTGACTCCAGTGCGTCCTGTTCGTATTTTGCCTCGTCGGCAATTACGAGCTCTGTCCAGGAAGAGTACGCAGCACGATTGGCTTTCTCGAGTGCTCTGGTGGTTTTACATTGCGCGTTCTGGATGAAGTCGTTGACCACTGACCCTTTGGCTTCCAAAACGAAGGGAAGCCTCTGCCAGGTCCATTGTCCACTCGCCGTTTTCATGGCACTGGCGAGCTCGTTGTCGAGGAGTCTGAGCATCAGGGCAGTTTCGAGGTTTTTTCGTTGCACTGCGTGCCTCTCTGATGTGTCAAACCCTGTCCAATCTTATAGACTGATCATGAGTTAGCCTTAGCATCGACATCGGGGTTTGGTAACACAAACGGAGCTGTGTTTGCTTCCTGGTCCGCACAGGACCCTTTTGGGCGGAGAAAAAATCACATCCGACTTCCCTTGGTTGCCATGAATCCATGTTCGATTTGCTATCCGACTTGGTTTGGTTTCCTTGAATCCATATCCGGCTTGGTTTGGTTTCCTTGAATCTATTATCGACTTGGTTTGGTTTCCTTGAATCTATTATCGACTTGGTTTGGTTTCCTTGAATCTATTATCGCCTTGGTTTGGTTTCCCTGAATCCATTATCGCTTTGGTTTGGCTTCCTTGAATTCAAAAATATTTGGTTGTGGCTTGATTGATTTTGTGGAAAATCGATCGCGCCGCGCCAGCCAAACGCCAAAAAAATCAATCACAATTTGGATGTTGGCACACGGCCGAAATTGTGATCGATTCTCTGGAAAATCGATCGCAATTTGCTGTTCAAAAACAGAATCGATCACATTTTCGCCTTTGGGCCAACACGGAAATTGTGATCGATTCTGTTTATGAACAGACAATTGTGATCGATTCTCTGGAAAATCGATCGCGTTCTGGAAGTTGGGCCAAGACGGAAAATGTGATCGATTTTGTTATCGGCTTGGTTTGGTTTCCTTGAAACCATATCCGGTTTGGTTTGGTTTCCTTGAATCTATGATTTGGTTTGGTTTCCTCGAATCCATATCAGGTTTGGTTTGGTTTCCTTGAATCTATCATTTGGTTTGGTTTCCTTGAATCTATTATCGACTTGGTTTGGTTTCCTTGAATCTATTATCGATTTGGTTTGCTTTCCTTGAAACCATATCCGGTTTGGTTTGCATTCCTGGAATCCATTATCGATCTGGCTTGGTTTCCTTGATTACCTGAATCGATTTGGTTGGGTTTCCATGATTCCTTATCTTGGGCTTTTGACTTAAACAATTAGTACTGTCGTCGAGGCTTTCCTTGAATTGTGACAGCCGGGCAGCCCTCGGTTGAACATGTCCTCATGCTGGGCGACTGTGTCCGCTGGGAATGCTTCCCGCAACTTCGGCAAAATGTGCAGCCATACCAAGACGATGTCGTGGATCTCCATCTGTTTGTCTTCGTTCTTCTGTGCTGCTTTCTGCCAACGAACATCACAAGTAGCAGCAAGCATGTCGTGTCGGACATGTACGACATGTACACACTGCGAGGTGGCATGAAAAGCTCAGTTGACTGAAACCGCGGGGCCTTGGCCCTGGTGGACGAGGCTTTCGTCACCTCACGAGAGAAGTCCTCACCACGTAGCACGGAACAGAAAATTCGTCAAGTGTCTTCAGTTTCTAAATAGATGAGGTCCTGGACGATCCGTTGCGCCCAAGCACACGCAGATTCATCCGTTGTCGTCATGATGCCGCTCCATAGCTCGCTCTGCTTGTAGCGAGCAACCTGCCTCTGTTGACCCGGTAGCCACCACTCAGCTCCCAGTACGTCCGAAGGGATACCTGTCAAACAAGGGAAATGATATGCTGCAGGAGTTTAGGGAAATGGGCTTGCCACTCCGTCCTGAGACTTCAAACTTGTGGTCGTCATAGTGTCGTCGGAGGATTTCCCTGAATGTGCTTGATACTCTGAGCCTCAGATGTGGTGGATGATGTCTTGCAGCGTGGAGAGGTACATTAAGGACCCGGTTAGCCCCGGACTGGCATTTAACAAGCCGAGCGGCAGATTATTTATCAGGTTCTTGCGTGTGGTGTTGATTCTGTGTCTTGCCACTGTGATGTTCTTGTTGTAGGCCGCCACTGCAGCATTCAGTGCGTCGCGCAATGGCAATTTCTTCTTGCCCGACCGCTGTTCTATCTCTATGGCTGAAGCCATTTCAGCAGCCAACACCAGCGGACTCGGCGCCTGCTTCTCTGCTGTCAAGTATCCATTGCCTGAGTCTGAATTCTGTTCAGTGTGTCGTGATCTAGCGATGCCGTCCATGCCAAGCAGCGGAGCGCTTCGTAGTGGTATTCCGCCGGGTTCTTGTGATACACAAAACTGACACGAATGAAGCGGAAAGAGGTCAGGGTGCGCACCAAATGCTCGTTGGCCAGTTCTTCGTCCGTTAACTCCAGGTGGTAAACAATGCTGACGATTGCTTGCATAATCGTCAACTTGGTTTGTCCGTCCGTGACACCGACAGCGAAGTCGCACCCATTCTCGCCGAAAGATCGATCGCCTCTGCATACATGCAAAAAGAAGGATGTGATTCAGACAATATTCGAACTCAACTCGGATGTAGCTACATCGCTGCAGACGAAGCACTTTGACAGTGAGGAAACTTAATGTCCACGTTCTCGTTGGCGCGGTAGCCCCGCATCAAGAACTCCGTGAAAAAAGTTTGTACCTGGACGTTCGGTGCGTGAAGTCCGTTCTTCATCGTGTTGTCAAAGATGAACGCTGTCAACGGAAGCCAACCCGCCTTGGCTGACTTCAGAAACCCTCCTAAAAGCTAAACCTTGAGCCTACTTGTTATAGTATAAATTGAAACCCAACAAGTTAAAGTCCTAAGCCAAGCCTCGGTGTCCTCCGTTGGGACGGAGGTGATAACTTTCTGATCCGGTGCCGGAGGCTTTGTCATGACCAAGTCTGTCATAGCCTACGAATGGGTCACGACATAACTAGGCTACTGACTGGAGCATCTGGACAGTGCTTTGATGTCCCCCAGCCTGCTTCATACTGGCCTTCGTCATCCTGTCCTCAACGTACTGGCCCACATTTCCTTTCTCAACGATGAGGTCGAACTGATCTCGAATCTTCCGCAGCACGGACGGAAGCTCCAACTCATCTGCCATGGCTGATGTTCCCATGACTTCTAGTTTCCTGTGTCCGTGGATGTGAACATTGGCATGCTGCTACTGCTTCCATCCTGGAGCTCCGATGCGGCAAAACAGATTCAGGTGACGACATGGCACGACGACACCAGCTGCAGGTCCATCAATGTGACATTGACATTCTTTTTTCAACTGGAGCGGAGCCGCGGATGCTGTTCGTAGACCTATTACGTTGAACTTGGTAATGTCGCCCCACGATCTGCGATCTCCTTCGTCCTGCTGTCCTTTGAGGCTCTCCTTACCTCCGCCGAAAGTGCACCCTGAGCTGGTGAGCTTCGTGGCGGTGCTGCGGCGCAAGCTCCACATCGATCATTCCTGATGTGTACCCTTCAGCAAACTTCCTTCCTTCGGTTTATTAAGTACTATCAAGAAACACATTCCCAGTAGCAGCCCCAAGGTTCCTTGAGGCCTCGGTCCGTTTCTGATGAAATCCAGCCTGGGGTACGCCACCTGCCTCACGCCTTGAACGAGACTGCGATAGTAAGTAACAGCACGGCGTAAATTCGGATAGTGCCTTTCGATGGCATCCGCTAACTCAAGGACTTCAGCAGCTCTCTGTGGGCTCAGTTCCGGCCCGGCAGTTTTGTTCGTGGTGTTGATCTGTCTGCAAAACTCTTCCGTCGCTCCGCGAATATGCGTGGGCCAGCAGAGCAGTGGTGCTTGACTGGCTTGCCTGTCACTCATGTACATCTTCATGATGGCAAATACGTCGCTCTGCTGGCCGCAGCTCCTCATGCGAACAGGTAGACGTTCTGATAACTCAATACCGCGGCCATCATCAGGAAGAGCTGCAAACAGGGATGACTCAAGCTTCTGGATCGGATTGAGGTCTGCTTTAGGGTGATTCTGCCCGCCTCCGCGTGGAAGAAACTGGAAGACATGAGGCACTCGCTTGTCGGATTTGCCCTCGGCTCGCTCCTGATAGGCGCCGAAAAGGTGCACTGTTTCTGGCAGGAGTTCGTCCCACAGGCGAACCTGAGGGCAGCTGCAGCTTCTTGTGTGTGTAGGCTTACCTGCCTAGACTGGCCTGCGTGACATGCTCGCACTGCATCATCATTCCTTTCTCTTGAAACATCGGCCCCAAATTCTCCGTCAGGATTCTGCTGATGTCTTGAGGAGTCTGGATGTCAGTAGCCTGCCTTAAAGCTGTCGTCACCAAGGCCAGCGTTGCATCTCAGTAAGTACACATTCAGCTTATCAACACTGCGTTGCTGTGTGTCACCCTGTGGCAATCAACAAACTAAACAAAAGAATGCCTGCTACCGAGTATCCCACATCCTCATGCGTATGTCCTACTTGAAGGTGGTTGTGGGAGGCTGCTCGGTAATATCCGAGTTGCACCAAACTGCACATCAGTTTGGAAGTGCTCTGATGGCGAACCTCCTTTGTTGTGTTGTCTGCTTGCAGGTAGAACCTTGGTTCACCCAGAGGTGTCTGTAATGACACACTCAGACAAAGGGCATGCTGGCTGACTAGGCACTCACGCGGGAAAGCAAGATTCTTTCGTCTGTACCAGGAGAAGGCCGTGTCCATCCCGCGCATGAGCTTAGATGCAACAGAGGTACACCAGAAACTAAAAGAAGCACCTATTGTCCGGAATGCGGTCGGGCTGCAATTTCCAGTGTCCAGTTTGCTCCAAGAGTCATACCCTCATCACATGTATAGAAAAATGCACCGACGCCATGCACCAGGACGAGGGTGATGGTCACGTGGGGTCCTAAGCACAGAAAGTCAGGTGCCGGACTCATCACCCTGCTGGGACCTGAGCCTGGACCTTATTAATTACCGAGATGCGAAAGTTCTTCTCGAATGCCGCGCGCTTCGGGGTTCTCGAATCTTGCCATTTCGGCAGCATGGCCTTTGCCTTGTCGTAAGAGTCTAAGATTATGGTAAGAAGGTCTCGCTGCGTTTGTGCCCGTGTACGTGCTTCCCAATACACTTGTCTGTCTTTCCACTGCGTCACGTGGTGGTCGAGAAGCTCGTTGCAAAGACGCACGTGCCTGGCGAAGTCCTTCTTGCTTTCGCTGATGGCTGCACGTAGTTTCGAGCAAGTAAAGCATATGCCGTGAGTAGACTTCTTTCGGAAACGCAGGCAGGGTGACCAACGCACAAACTCGGAGTAAAACAAAGATCGGCCTGCAACGTTGACATCCTGAGAGCCTCTTGCACAAAATGCCTGGTATTGTGTGTACAAGCTGCTTGCACTGCTGTGTGGCAGCTCTCGCACTGGCAATTGCGCAGGATCCATATCAAAGCTGATCTGCTCCGTGGCGGTCTGCAGCTTGTATGCAATCAGTCGCTTCAACATCCGTCTCTGCAATTCCGGTGTGCTGGTAGACAAAACCTCAGCTGTAGTGAACCTCAGTCTTGCCACGATCCCTCCGACACATGCAAATCGCACCCTTGTGCCATGTATGTTTTCCATAAGTTAGCCGAGACGCTTCGTGGTCATGGACTCTGCTGCACTGTGGTACATGTGCATAAAGAAAACTCTCAGAGAAGCCTGTTTCAAGGCTGGCCGTTTCGACGAAGTCATTTTCCGTAGGTCCAGTCCATGACAAATGGATTTGCAGCGCCGTAGCCTTCCTCGTCCGATTCCCAGAAGACGCCTGAGTTGTCAGGTTCGTCAGAGGATTCCTGCACAATCGGTGTACAAATTGGCACAGAATGCCCAAGGTCTTCTGCAACCAGGATGCATGAATGCCTCCCTGCATACTGCATAACCTGCGATACTGTAGTGTCGCTTCTTTCCTGCTCCTTGCTGTAAAGACCATAAAAGTCCGTCCTGGCCAGCTTTGGACAATGACCAGAAACATTCGCACACCTTTGTCATGATGCGCCTAGGTACGCTGCAGCCACCTTCGCAGCTGCAAGGATTCTTGCAAGCTTTTTGGATGCGGCCCGGCTTCACACCGTTCTTGCTGTACGTATCCATTTCTCTATCTCCATCGCAGCGCACCGAGTGCAAACACTCCATCCGTTCAAGGGACAGGTCCGCCTGTCCCCACACGACACTACGTGACATTGAGCTGCTTCCGCTTGACGAGCTGGAGGACTCCTCGCTCTCGGGCCTCGGCTCTGTCGAGTCCTCTGTTTCTTCGTATCGCTGCAGCCCACCAGTGGGTCCTCTCTGTTTCTTCTTCCTCGACTCAGACTCAGACTCCGTCACGTCGTACCGTTGCAGCTGCAGCTGTTGCCGGCCAGCGACAGGCGTCCTATGTACGTTGTCCTTCCTGAGAGTATTACGTTGGGGTTGACTGCTCCCTCCAGCATCCAGGAACGTTTGCAAATCGAACTGTGGAGGCATGACCCCACGGCCCGGAACTACTTCAAAGTTAAGGGCGATCCAGCTCCAAACTATCACTTTGTACTGGCATTGGCCTGAAGTGAAGTGTCCTGACATTATTATTCCTGTTTTCCTACTCCCTAAGACTGGATTTCCTGGTTTCGTACTGACACCGAGCCACGCAAACAAAGCAACGAGCTTGCACGGAATCTGCCAGAATAACGGATTGCATTGCCGGCCACGCTCAGGCTCCATGTTTCTTTTACGT